CCCTCGGTCACCTCTCCTATCTTCATGAGGCTGATTTTTCTTTTTTGGGGAGTTTTTTTTGTTTGTTTGTTTTTGTTTTGTTATAGGGTGCATGTGCTTGTCAGAAAGACCGAGAGAGACAGAGAAACAGAAAGGGCATGGCCACGCCGCAATCCCTTCTCCTCCGTTCTCCTCTTGGGATCTTGGGCATGCACGCACACGTACCCAGCGTGAGTTTAAGCCACCAGGTCCAGGACTTAAACCGTGGTCGACTACATGGGAGTCCAGTGACATAGCCATTATGCCAACTACTGGTCCCCATGAGGCTGATTTTCAATCTTGAAATTTTATTTTTATTGCTAGAGGTTACGTGAGTGTACCAGAAATGGGGAAGGGGAGGAGAAAAAGTACTTCCCAGTGGGGCAGGGTCACCCTACAATTCATTTCCATTTCTCCATCCCATCAAGATTTTGGACATGCATGTATGCACACATGCACCTGGCATGTTTTCCAAGCCACTGGGGCCAGGATTTGAACCATGGTTGGCCATACAGGATCTGGCTTCCTACGTACAGGTTTAACACTGTGCTACAAGGCTGACCCACACTGATTTTATAACTTCCTTTTTTTTTTTTAGAATTATTTATTTAATTTGTATTTGTTATTATTATTGTTACCATTATTTTAAATTTTGTTATAGGGCACGTGTGCTCACTAGAGAGAGACAGGGAGAGTGAGGGGAGAAAGTGAGAAAGCAAGCCACCACATTCAGGACTTAAATGATGGTAGGCCATGTGGGAGTCTAACACCTTAACCATCTTTTTACCTGCTGGCCCCTACAACTTCTTTTAAAGTTATAAAACCTTTTGGGGCCAGCAAGTGGCATGGTGGTTAAGGCACTGGACTCCCACAAGGTCCACTGTGGTTTGGGTCCTATACCTGGTGGCTTGTTTCTCCCCCACTGTCTCTCTCTAGTCAAATTAAAAAATAATAGTGGCAGATTGTATTAAATAAATCTTTAAAAGAAAGTTATAAAAACTTTTTTAAAAAGTTTATTCTATGAGCAAGAGAGACAGAGACAGAGAGACAGTACCTCAGAGTCTTCATGGTGCAATCCACACCCAGCCTCAGCTAGCCCCAGATCAGGGGCACATACATGCCCAGGGTACTCAAAGAGGTCTCTGGATGAGAATCCAGAACCTTCGCAGGTGAGTCAGCTTTGTAGAGCGTTGTGTTTGACCTCTGCACCACTGTCCAGCCCCTGTAACTTCTGTTCCCTTTTGAAGCTGCCTTTCATCATTCCTTCCGCTTTATTTTCCCTGGATTTGCCATGTTGGGAGCAGGGGTGGGGCAAAGGTTGCTGAATGTCACTTGCCCTGTCCAGCCCAGGGCTTATCTCCCTGGGAGAAAGAGGAAGATTAGTGCAGAGCCTTAGGCACCTCTGAGAACCCTGCCAAGCAAAGCCTAGCCGACCAGTCCTGACAAGCACCAGTTCTAGGTCCAGGCTCTGTGGGAGGAGCAGTGGCTGGAAGATGACGCTAACCTTTTCTGAGGGACTCAGCTTGCTATTAGGTGACTCAATGCATTTCCTAGCGTCTTATCCAAGAGGCAGGGGCAAGAGCTGCAGCCTTTGTTTATTTTTTTCCTCTTGGGCTGGGACTGTTCCGTCTTGGCACCAGGTCCACAGGAAAGCCTTCATTAGTTGCCTCCCTGGCTGCCTGTGATCTCATCAGCCTGAGCACAGCTTCAACCAGGAAATCAAAGCCCCAGCGCCCAGAGCTTCTAAGATATACCAGGTCACCGACGTTGGGGTATGACCTGCTTGGGTTTAAACCCTAGCTCTTCTGGGTCTCAGTTTACAATCTGTAAAATGGAGGCAATAATCTTGCCTCAGAAGCTTGTGATGATGGAGGGTGATAATATGTGAGGGGAGGGGGAGTTTCAAAAAGTTTACAGAGGGTTGGGCCTGTGGCCTGATGGTTAAGGGAGCCAGATCCACATTGCTGACCGTGCAGTTTGAATCCCTGCCCTGGCAGCTTGAAAAACATGCCAGGCATATGTATGTGCATGCCCCAGATCCTGATAGGACAGAGAAATGGAGGAGAAGGAAAGCATTACTCACTGGGGGGTGCTTTCTCCCTCTCCATCTTATTATTTTATTCTCTCTACAGAGAGCACATGTGCCTTCTGGCACCAAATATATATATATATAATGCATATTATGAAAAAACTATGCATGGATTCCAATTTTTTTTCTTTTTTTTTGGAGAGGTTTTTGCTATAGGGCGCATGCACTCGCCAGACAGACAGAGAGAGACAGAAAGATAGAAAGCAAGAAAGCGAGAAATCACTCCCCAGGGAGGATGGCCACGCCTAAATCCCTTCTCTTCCATTTTCCTCTCAGGATCTTGGGCATGCATGCACACACGCCCGGCATGAGTTTAAGCCACCATCCAGGACTCGAACTATGTGGGTCAACTATGTGGGAGTCCAGCGACACAGCCATTAAGCTAACTGCTGGTCCCTGGATTCCAAATTTTTGCACCAAAATAAACTCATACTTTAGTTCCATTTTTCCATGAAGTTTTTCAAGTTCCCTCATACATAAAGCACTTAGCATAGTATGTTAGCTCAATAAACAGAAGCTATTATTAATATTCTCCCCTTTTTGAGTGGCAGTAACTAGCAGTTAATAGTGTGGTTTCTAGAGTTGGACTAATCCAGGCTGGGTGGGTTTGAGTCTTGGGTCCTTTTCTTTCCAGTTGTGTGACCTCAGGCAAATTTCTCTCTAAGTCTCTGTTTCTTCATTTGTGAAATGAAAATAACGGTAACTTTCTTATAGGGTAACGGTGAAGATGAAATAATGCAAAGTGTTTACCACAATTGCCAGTACAAACTGCACAACAAAAACGAACTACTCTTATGATCATTGTTTTTCAGCCCCACATCCTCCCGAGTCTAGCTTAAGATGCTGTCCTTCCTACAAACCCCGTTCATTCCTCTCTGACCTTCCTTCATTGATCCTCATTCTGTCTATCTTTCTTAAAAGTATACATGGGCCCGGACTGGCCGATGACATAACGGTTATGTTCCTGGACTCCCACATGGCCCACTGAGGTCCGATAATGAGACCTACAGACTTGAAACTCACGCCAGGTGCATGTGCATATGTGACCAAGATCCTGAGAGGAGAATGGAGGAGAAGGGATTGCAGTGTGGCCATCACCCCTGGCGGGGAGGGTGATTTCTCCCTGTCTGTCTGTCTCTCCGCCTCTCTGGCAAGTGCACACACTCTATAGCAAAAATCTCTCCAAAAATAAATAAATCAATCAAAAGTATAAATGGGCTGCCTAGGCTCATTTTGCTCTCATCTTGAGGCATATCTTAACACTTATTGATGTGTTCAAAAAACCTACAAATCCAATGATAAAAACATCGAAGTTAGAATTATTGATACATTGTACATTTTACATCAGAAATTCCTAACTTTATTTATTTTTATTTTTGTAATGGGCTCTCTTTTTTTAAGTCTCCACTCCCTAAGCAGCTGCCCAAACTATTTCTCTGCTTTTTGAGCTAACACTCCCTCCAGCCTGCTTCCCTCTCCAAATCTCTGAGACCGTGTGTGTGTGTGTGTGTGTGTGTGTGTAGGTGAGGAGTCTTATAAAAGTTCATGGAGGGGGTATGGTGAAGGTGGCTGGATCCCATATGGCTCACTGTACTTTTTGAGTCCTGGATCTGGTGGCTTGAAAAATATACTGGGCTGTGTGCTAGCATGACTAAAATCCTGAAAGGAGAAATGGAGAAGGGATTGTAGAGTAACTGTGTCCCACAGAGGGACTGCTTTCTCTCAGCCCCCTCAGCAAACACATGTGCCCTATGGCAAAATAAAATAAAGGGGCCAGTAGTAGGTGGTATGGTGGTTAAGGCATTGGACATGGCTGACTGAGGGGGACCTGGCGGCTTGCTTTCTCAGTCCTCCCCACCCCACATCTGTCTCTGGTAGAATTAAAAAATAATAATAGGGACCAACCATATAGCGACCAGCAGATGGTGTAATGGTTATGTCGTTGAACTCCCATGTAGTCCACCACAGTTCAAGTCCCGACCTGGCAGCTTGAAACTCACTCCAGGTGCACGTGTGTGCGTGCCCAAAATCCTGAGTGGAGAGTGAAGGAAAAGGGAATGTGGTGTGGCCAGCTCCTGTGGGGGATGTGTGTGTTTTCCTGCTTTTTGTCTCTCTGGCGAGTAAATGCACCCTATAGCAAAAATCTTTCTTCAAAAATAAGTGAATAAAATAATTCTTAAAAAAGAATTGGGAACCAGCAGTTAGCCTAATGGCTATGTCGCTGGACTCCCACGTAGTCGACCGCGGTTCGCGTCTTGGACCTGGTGGCTTAAATCTCACGCCGGGCGCGTGTGCGTGCGTGCCCAAGATCCCGAGAGGAGAATGGAGGAGAAGGGATTGCGGCGTGACCATCCCCCCTGGGGGGTGATTTCTCGCTTTCTGTCTCTGTCTCTCTCTGTCTGTCTGGCGAGCGCACGCGCCCTATAGCGAAAACCTCTCCAAAAAAAAAAAAAAAAGCATTAAAAAAGTTTATGGGAAAACTGAGAGTATGTTTTTTTCCTGTTGCAAAAAATTTTGAAATCTGCATCATTTTTTTATAATACTCATTTTCCATGAATTTATTTATTTTATTTTTAGAGAGTTTTTTCTTATAGGGTATGTGCACTCACTGGAGAAACAGAGAGAGACCGAGGGGGAGAAAGAGAGGTTTAAATTGAAAAAAAAAAACAAAAACAAAAAACCAACTCAGAGAGCTTGAGAGAAACGCAAAAGCCCTAAACCTAGCTGGAGCAGAACCCTCCGGCGCCTGCGCAGAATGACGTCACCTTCCTGACGTCAGCGCGCCAACTCGGGCCAGCCCCCTGTGACGCCAGTCCCGTCAAAGCCCCGCCCCGCACGCCCGGGAGCTGTCGCGCATGCTCCGAGCCCCGCCCCCTTGCGTCACAGAATGGCCTCGGGCACCCAGGCAGCTCCTGACGTGTCGGGGAGGAGCCGGGCGCGGAGGTGCGCCGAGTGGAGCTCTGGGCTGCGGAGGGGAGCGGAGCTGAGAAGCTGGGCGGGCCTGGCCAGGCCAGCGGAGCAGAGACGTCGGTCGAGCGGCGGCGAACATGCGTTTTTGACACTTTGGAGGTGAGCCTGCTGTGCGGGGCCGCTCCCCAGGGTGCCGGGCTGGCTGGCGGCGCCGAGGCCTGCCCTTGGGGAGCCTGCCTGACCCGGGGTCTGTGCCTGAGGCCGCTCCGAGCCGGGCCGGACCGGAGCTGGATTCTGGGGCGGCCAGTCTGGGGGCAACTATTCCAATCGCTCCAACTGTCCGGTCCCCGTCTTGCGCCGAGGTGTGGCCCACCAGGGGCTTCTGCAAGGGAGCGAGCCCGGCGGCCTCTGGAGGATGTGTCCCGATCCCGGGGTGGGGTGATGGATGGCGGGGACGGAGGCTGGGACGTGGCACCGTGGGCCGGGACGCTGGTGGCGCAAGGAGTGGCCCAGTCGGAGGTGGCAGCGGCGCGCCCAGCCCCCCTCTCTTCCCCAGATCCCTTCCTTCAGCTGCGAGGGTTGTTTGGAGTCGGGCTGGATTTTGATCTCTCAGTTCCTTTCTCCCGCGGGGGGCGAGAAAGGGAGCAGCCCACATTAGTCTCCGATTGGCATTCCGGTGACTCCCCGCCCGGAACTGCTAATCACCCCTTTGGAGTTAAAGAAAGTGGCACTGGCACCATCGGATTGCTTGTGTTTGTCCTCTTTTTTTTTTTTTTTTTTTTTTTTTTTTTTTTTTGGTGGGGAAAAAAACTAATAAATGTTGTTTGGAGTCGGGCTGGATTTTGATCTCTCAGTTCCTTTCTCCCGCGGGGGGCGAGAAAGGGAGCAGCCCACATTAGTCTCCGATTGGCATTCCGGTGACTCCCCGCCCGGAACTGCTAATCACCCCTTTGGAGTTAAAGAAAGTGGCACTGGCACCATCGGATTGCTTGTGTTTGTCCTCTTTTTTTTTTTTTTTCCTTTCTTCTTTTCTTGCTGGTGAGCAACGAACTAATAAGTTTTGCCGAGGAGGTGAGGGATCTTGTGCTACTGATTATTAAAGGTGTAGCACCTTACGCCTTTGGCCTTTTGAAACATTCTTGTTAACATCTTTTGAATCTTATCATCCTGGGGTTGTGACTAATTCTGTTATCTCCATTTGAGTGGTGAGGAAATCTAGCAGGGGTGAAGGATCAGTAAGTGATTGACAGTTGGGTTCAACCAGCTACTGGGTGGCTTAGTTTGAATCAATTTACATTTCTAGGTTCACAGTTATGGTTTCTTTTCGTGGGATTTTTATACCCTTCTCAGCTAGAAAGCAAGGCAGAAATTTTGATTTGCCAAAGATGTACCAGAAGTTAGTAAGTGACTTATTCAATTATTTTTGACCAAATTCACCTAGTATAAGTATTGCTACTTAGTTATAAAAAAAAATCTTAGTCCCAAGCTTTTCATGGATTGCTGGTTAATTTTTTTTTTTTTATACATTGAGTTC